CCAGTAGTTCTTTTTCGTGGACAGGGTAGTTGAGCTCCGCGCCCTTGAAGGTCATCGAGTCGAAGGCAACTGGGCGAGCGGTCTCCCATGACTTCCCGAAGGAGAGCACTGCCCCCAACCGTGTTTCGCTGGCGTCTGTCATCACGAAGATTTTGTTGTCTGGCATCTTTGCATAGTCAATTGAGGTAAGGCAGTCGCGACTCACAACAATCGCTTTTATTGCGTCGAAGGCGGCCTGTTCTTTTTCGGTCCATGGCGGGAAGTCTTTGTCGCAATCTTTCATGGTCATCTTGTTCAGGATGAAGGTATGTTCTGCCAGATTAGGGAGGAAGGCGGACAGGTAACGTACCAGTCCGAGGAATGCTCGGACCTCTGTGGCAGATTTTGGGGTCGGCCAGTTGGCAATTTTGTCGGCCTTCTTGCCGTCGGCCTCGATTCCTGCAGCGGAGATTTTGTGTCCCAAGAAGTTAATTTCCGTGCAGAATAGATGGGATTTCTTCTCGTTGATGTAAAGCTTGGCCGCTCGTAAGGCTGACAGGACTTCCCGTACGTTGCGGACGTGTTCTTCGAGGGTCTGGGACCATATGACGATGTCGTCAAGGTAGATGTGGCAGATCCTGCCGATGCATTCCCGGAGTGCATGGGTGACTCGGCGTTGGTGGATTGCAGGTGCGTTACGAAGTCCCATGGGCATCACTGTCCATTCGTACAATCCGAAGGGGGTCGTTACTGCAGTCAGGTGTATGTGGTCCGGGTGCATGGGCGTCTGGAAGAACGAGTTTGTCATGTCGATCTGCGCGAAGAACACACCTTTCAAGCAATCTGCCAAGATGTCATCCTGGCGCGGAATAGGATGGCTGTCTTTGACGGTGTTCGCATTGAGGTCACGGTAGTCGTTTACCCAACGAGGGAGCGCGGTTGGATCTGCCTTGGGGATAATAAAGGCAGGGGATGCATAGCGTGAGGAAGAGGGTCTGATGCGGCCCGCGTCTAAGTGTTGTTTAATCAAGGTTTGCCACGATCCCTTGTATTTTCTAGGGCAGGCGTACGTCCGACTTTTGACGTTCTTCGTAGCGTCTTTCAAGTGAATTTCTGAGAGAAATTCCGTAGGCAGTTCGTCTACATGCGGAATCGGTTTAAATACATCGAGGAATTCCTCTTTCAGGAGACGCTCGTGTTCCTGCATCTTTTGCAGCAGCGTCTCCCAGTTAGCCAGTATTTCTACTCGCTCTTTTACCGCAGCTACTGCGTGGGCGCACAATTCACCTGAAGGTTCGTCTGGCACAGTGATTCTTTCTCGTATGACCGTGCATAATTCTGCGAGCGTCGTCTTCTTGATCAACTTGACTTTCTCCACCTCTTTATCAAACTCTCTGCGCTTTTGTTTCAGTGATAACGGCTTTGGTTTGTGAGGTGGCAAGGGGTCTGGGTTCATTAAGTTATAACCCGTTTTTTTTGTCAATGCAGGAACGGTTTGCGTGGTCGGTGACAATGTCATTATGTATTAAGAACGGCAAACCTAGTATAATCGGCATACAGAGTCCCGGGGCAATGATGGCGTGAACAGTGCGCGATGTCCAACGACCATCCAGTGATGTTACAGTAATTTTTACAAACTCATCTAATTCAATTTTCCTCTTTTCTTTCAAGCTTTTGATAGCGACGTCGACGGTTTCGGGTACGGGAAGCTTCAGACGTTCTAGGCCAAGTGAATCTACTAGCTCGGGGCGGATGAGCACCAAGTGCGCCCCATTGTCTATGAGGGTGGACACTTTCACTGGAAATTCAGCCCGAGGGCCCGTCAGTGTCGCTCGCCACACGATGTGCTTTGAACGGAACGGCGGACTCACATCACTGTCACCATGCTCCACCTCGGAATCGGTGCCGTCTCCGAGTGCGGAGCTCATGGTGGCTGCAACCGCGTCGTCCTCGTCATCGGACTCGTTCGCGTCGGTGACGGCAGCTACTGTCTTCGCTTTTCCTTTCTTTTCCATGTAGGCGTTGTATTTCGGGTGCTTCTGAACATCGCTGAGCGTGAGGGTGTGGTACCCGTTGCCGGGCGGAAATTCATTTGGGCAGGAGCGTGTGCCGTGGTATGCAAAAAATTGACGGCACTTCCAGCAGCCCTCGTATTCTTCGAGGAGGTCTTTCTCCGACTGCTCCAGCTTCGGTAGCTTCTTCCATTTGCCTCCGGTCTGCGCACGTCCAGTCGAGGTGGATGCCTTGTTGGAGGAGGATCGGGGCGCTGTGTTCCCTGCGTTTCCTGACAGGGCGACACGCTTCGAACTGCGTTGGTCCTCCTCAAAGGCGTCCCTGTACCTCTTCCGGTCGTACGCGTACTCTTCGTCCAAGTTCTTAACGGCTTCGATCCAGTCTTTTAACGTGGTCTTCGCGTTAATTCCCTTTCGGGCGGCGGCTTTACGGAGTTCGGCATCCATCAGTCCTTCGAGCTGCTGGCGTAATTGGTCGTCGTTGAAGTGAGACGTCGTTCCTCGTAAGAGGATGTTGACTGCCTTCATCTTCTGCGTCCAGGCCCAAAACGGCTCGTTCTTCTGCTGGCGGTTGCCCAAGATTTCATTGCATACGTTCTCGATCCAGTCGGTGGGCAGGTAATTCGCTCGCAGTTCCTTCATGAACGCGTCGTAAGTGAGACCGAGGAGACGTTCACGGTCAGACGCGATCCAGTCACGGATGTGCAAGTCCTTGAAGGCGGACAAGATGAGTGGTACCTTTTCTTCTTCCGCAATTGTCTTGGAACGGCCACACGCGGTGAAGAAGTCTTGAAAGGCATTGTCCAGCTCCATCGCGGCCTTTGGGGATAACTCGCCGGCAGTCAGAACAGGGCAGTGTTTGACTACTGGATGTTCCACAGTCGCTTCTTTGTTGGGCGCCATCACGGTACGGTTGTATGCGGTTTTTGAGTGAATGTATGCGGTCAAGATTTCGGAATCAGAGTCGGACTCCCAACTGCGCACAGAGACGTCTAGTCGTTCGTGGGTGGGGCCCACAAGTGTAGAATCAGTTTCTGCCGACTCTGACAGTGTAGAATCAGTTTCTGCCAACTCTGAC